GACATGATGAGGTCAAAATCAGCGTCAACTCTTTAACAGGTAAGACGGTGTTAACAACAGGTATTTGTTTTATGATTCAGCCGTACGGGTTTGATGATGTTTATGAAATACGACATAATAAACTCCTGTGTTTAGAAGTACAACGAGCAGGGACTTTAAATAAGGGTAAATGGAAAACATTTGAAATGGTTGCTGCTAAACGTGGAAGTTGCATAAAGACAACTAAAGCCTGATGTTTAACTGGGTTTGTTATTATTATGAGCTAACTTCAAGCTGATTTTGGAAATTTAAGATAGTTACGCCTGAAAATTCAAGTTATGCCTGAAAGAAAAAGTTAATCAGTGTTACATACTGATCTAAATTAGTGCGTCATTAGGACAACTCCGCTGAACATGACCGATTAGATTATTAATTTCAATCAGGTGTGCGTTAACAGATATTTTGCGCATCAAATTTTAGGCATATAAACAATAACATGTTTAAATTGTATTCATTTCTTGTCCTTCTTGAAACAAGTTGGTATAATCAGAGAGTTAATAATTCTGCCTTTATTTCCAGTCTGCTGTCAGTTTAATGCTCTGAACTGAATGAATTTGTGCTGGTATTGGGCACAAGGCACTAATTCTGGGGAATACTTTGTTGTTGACTTTGATGTGTTGCATTTTCTGTGGTCCGGGGTTGTAATTAGCAGGAGCAACATGGTACATCCACAAAAAGCCTTTTCAAAGTGTTGCTACTTTATCCTTGACTGGGCAGCATAGAATTAGTGGGATTTGTGTCTGCAGCAGCGCTGAGGAGTGTTTGTCCAAAATGTAGCTTTTATTTGTTTTTAAGGATTTTCTAAACAGCCTTTCTGTCTTTCGCAACCTTGTAAAATAATTGTAACTTCAAGGTAATCATGTAGATATTTGAAATGGTTGAAGTTTTATTTTATGAATGAATTTAACTTCCTGGCAGGAATTATTAACTTTCATCCCTTGATCGCAGACAAATTGATTTTGAGCTGAGGCAATTTGTACAGGGTTTAGTGATATCAAGTGCTAAGCTTTGGCAATGCAACCAACTGCGTTTTTTTTTAATCTCAAAAACAACACAACAAACTTTACTCAGGAGGTCCTGATGCATCTCAGTAATCCAGGTAAAAAATCAAAAAGAAAAAAAAATGTATAGGGCCTCTGGACGGGTTCTTCTCTAATGAAATGTTTCGTCTCTCCTCCAAGAGTCTTCTTCAGTCTGAGAGTTTCAGGCAAAATTCAGGCTTTTAAGCCCAGCCTCCGTGTGACTGATACTCACATCACATGGCTATTGTTGACACCTAATATAAGTGTTAATTAGGTGTCAACGATAGCC